GTAGGTGAGATATCTCCCTTTAGAGATGACAAATTCTCTCTCAAAAAAATCCTTTAACTTCAATCTTGGGCTTTGAACAAGACACAAAAACTCCTTTAGCTTTAATCTTGGGCTTTGAACAAGACACAAAAACTCCTTTAACTTCAATCTTGGGCTTTGAACAAGACAGAAAAACTATTTTAACTTCAACCTTGGGCTTTGATCAAGACACAAACTTCTCTTTTAGCTTCAATCTTGGGCTTTAAACAAGACATCAAACATCTTTCCTCCCATAGAATAGGAGGAACTGCGAACGCTCTGATTTCTCAATTTCCTTTTTGAGAATACGTAGGCATAAGATTTCAAAATCTTAGCGAGTGCACTAATCGAAAACCTTAGGTCCAGATACCTTTCCAAAAACAATAGAAAATCCTAAAACAACAAAAACATTTCCTCAACGTCCCAAAGGAGAAACTTTCCCCACCTGCCAGCAAATAGACTCAAGAAAGCAATTCAAACAATAAAAACAAATGTAAATGAAAGTTCCTATAGATTACTATAGATACTCTGGGTGTTAATAGCTTCCCTTTGTATAACCAACCCCCGATTCCAGATCTCTTTGCATTTGTAGGGAAAACACTTGCATGCATGGTTAGTTTAAGATATCTTCCCCTTCCTTTTAAGCTTCATAGGATAAATATAGAAATCAAAAAGTAACACCAGGAGCGTTAGTGGTCGCGCCACAAAATCAATTGCAACACCCAGAATAAATAGAAATATGCTAAGTGTTGGACAACTGGTCGAAAAGGGGTTCTCAATGGTTATGAAATATGGATCCTTAGAAATTTTCGACATCTAGAATAACTTTGTCTTGAAACCTCCTATGTCGGAGAATAGAACATTTAAGACCATGATTAGTTCGATTGGGGTACAATGTTTGAAAAATGTTGTCGACCACAAGAATAGTTGGTTATGGCATATGAGGTTTGGTCATCTAAATTTTAGGTCGCTCAATCAACTGATCACTCAAGATATGGTAATTAGTATACCAAGTCTTGAGATGCCTGGCAAACTTTGTGAAGGTTGTCTAGTCGAAAAGCCATCCAGGAAGTATTTCGTTTCGATTATGCCAATGAGATCGTCATGCATACTCGAAGTTGTACATTCAGATGTATGTGGTCCTTTTGAAGAGTATACCATTAGTGGAGACAGGTATTTCATCTCATTTTCCGATGAGTAAAGTCAAAAGCTCTAGATCTATGTTATCAAACAAAAGGCCGAAGTATTTGAAATCTTTAAGAGATTTAAGATACTCGTCGAAAATCAGGGTGAAAAGAAGAACAAAGTTCTACAAATAGATGGAGGTGGCGTATACACATCCAAGATATTTGAAGTATTTTGTGCAGAACATGGTATTGATTATGAGATAACTTCTCCTTATACTCCTCAACATAATGGAATAGCAGAAAGAATAAACATTACTACATTGGACATGGCGAGATGCATGTTGAAGCAAAAGAATTTGCCAAAATCCTTATGGGGTGAGGCTTTTTCAACTGTTGTTTATATTCTGAACAGGTGCCCTAAGAAGATGAAGAACAAGGTTCATGAAGAAGTGTGAAGCGGCAAACAACCATCAGTGAGTCATCTGAAGTGTTTGGCTTTATTTGATAAAAGCATATTCTTGATGCTAGGAGAAGGAAGCTTGATGATAAGAGTGAACCTACGATTCTGGTAGAATATCATAAGACTGAAGCATACAGGTTGTTCAATCCAATTAATCAAAAGATTTTGATGAGTCGAGATATAGTTATTGATAAAAATTCTGTCTAGGATTGGAATTCTAGTAATGAAATTGACAAGCCATTAATGAGTTATGATTTCGAAGAAGCAAGTAATGATGTCGAAGTCAAAGATATTATCGATATTCTATTTGAAGTCGAAGTTGTTCCTGACATACCCAAACCATTCGAAGTCGAAGAGGATATGGCTGAAACAAGCCAGAGACCTCAAAGAGCTAGAGCTCGTCCAACAAGACTTCAAGACTATGAAGTTCTAGTTGATGATGAAGTCACAATAAATAGAGACCTAGTTCATTTTTCTTTATTTGTAGGTGTTGAACCAATCAACTATAGAGAATCCTTCAAAGATAATTAATAGAAGTCTACTATGGTCGAAAAGTTACAAGCAATCAAAAGAAACAACACATGGGAGTTAGTCAAATTGCCAACACATATAAAAGCTATCGAAGCGAAATGGGTGTTCAAGTTGAAGCACAATGTTGGTAGCTCGAGGATTTCTTCAGAAAGTATGAATTGACTACTCTAAAGTATTTGCACCTGTCGCAAGATTGAAAAATGTTCGACTAGTTGTAGCCTTGGCATGCAATCAAGGTTGGTCGATATTTCACTTAGATGTGAAATAGGAATTTTTTAATGGACCTTTAGATGAAGAGGTGTATGTCACTCAATCTTCTGGGTTTGTGATTCAGGAGGAAGCAAGTAAAGTACACAAGTTGCAGAAAGTGCTCAATGGTCTCAAGCAGGCACCTAGAGCATGGAACAAGAAGATTGACCCATACTTGGTCGGATTGGGATTCGTCAAATGCAAATTTGAGTAAGGTGTCTATGTTCAGGTTATAACACAACATATAACAATCATTTGCTTATATGTTGATGACTTGTTAGTAACTGGAAGTAGCTTGAAGAACTTGTCGAAGTTCAAAGAGCATATGAAAAGGGAATTTGAAATATTGGATCTAGGAAAGTTATCGTACTTCCAAAGCATGAAATTTCAAACGTCGAAGCAAGGTATGGTGCCACATCAAAGAAAATATGTCAAAGAGATACTCGGGAGATTCGGAATGGATGATTCGAGTCTTGCATCTTTGCCTATCAAACCAAATTTGAAGTTAGAGAAGTATGGAGAGGAAGACAAAGTCGATGTGACTTTGTTCAAACAAATTGTCGAATCTCTGAGATATGTGTGCAACAATTGACCTGGTATATATTTCTTAGTTGGATTATTGAGCAGATATATGAGTGAACCAAGGGTATCACACATGAAGGCTGCAAGAAGAATCATGAGATACTTAAAAGGATCGGCAAACTATGGAATTTTATTTCGATGATACTATGAAAGCAAATAAGCTATGATTACATGTTATTTAGATGGTGATTGGTGTAGAGATAAGGAAGATCGGAGAAGTAGTACCGGATGCTTCTTTCAAGTATTTGGTCCCCCAATCTCATGGTGCTCGAGAAAGCAACCCGTAGTGGCATTGTCAACATGTGAAGCTAAATATATATCAGGACCCCATGTTGCGTGTCAAGCAATTTGGATCAGATCTGCGATGGAAGAGATCGAGGTCGAAGTGAAGAAACCTCAGGTACTGCAAATCGACAACAAGTCAACCATAAATCTGGCGAAGAACAAGTTTTGCATGGAAGAAGTAAGCACATCAAAGCTAGATTTCACTTCTTAAGGGAGAAGGTGAATCGAGGTGAACTTGAAGTAAGGCATTGCTTAAGGAAAGCGTAATTAGCTGACATTTTCACCAAATGATTGAAGATCGATAGATCCTAACTTTGAGAAAGAAATTAGGAATAGTTCAGATTGACAATGATTAGTGTGTTTCTACAACATAGATTATAGGGGGATATGTTGAGATATTAGATATAATCCAAGTTGTATTATGTGGCCAAAACCCAAAACTAATTAGGATTTAGGATTTTTTACTTAGTTTGTTATATATTTGTTCTTAGAAATCAAATTACTTAGGTCTATATAAATAAGACACTTTATAATTCAGTCATTATCATTCATTCAATAGTATCAATCATTATTTTCTTATTCTCTCTCTTTCTCTACTCATTAAAAGTATCTCACGCACTAACAAATACGAGAGAAATCAATATTAATTTTATATTAACTAATAAATATATGATTAATCTCCTTAATCAATTTAGATGGTAATTGTGTAGAAATATAAAATTCAAAGATACGAGTTCAAATCTACAATCCTTTGTCTATTCATTCTTAAAGGATGAATTTCGGCTATTAATCTACTTTAAAAAAAAAATAAACATATGATTAGTTTATTATTGGGTCGCGACGGCAAGTAGATTGGGTCATTCGTGTGCATGGCAGTCATAAAAGATGTAGTTTGTTGACCATGAAGCCAATGTGTTGATAGTGTGAAATGGTAGCCTAATACAATTCCAAGTACACCGTAGTATCTCTCAGTCAGTTAGGTGAATGTGAAATATCACAAAATCATTGAAGAGGGACTTAGTTGAATTGTCGATTGTTTATCTTGAACTATTATTATAATACAACCACGTGTGTGTGACTAGTACTACTATCTTATTACTACTAAAATCTTGTCGGATTAATTTATATGCACAATTAATTAAAATGTAGAACTATTTTTTACATGTTTAAGTGCTTTTGCTTGGTCTCAAGATCCAATTGGCTTTGATCCAGTCCAATATAGAGTTCTTTAGAACAGCTATATCAAGGTGGTTTCAACTTGCCACCGCGCGCACACTTATACTTAACACCTATAATCTCTATGTTAATATTTTTTACTTTTTTTTTTCAAAATTTACCAACCATATGCGCGAATTCAAATTGTTTGAGGAGGTATCGAAAATTTCAAAATCAATATGTTTTTTTTACTATAAATTATCAAACTGTATGAATTTGTATTGTAAATTTTAAACGGAATAGAGGAAAATGGTTAAGTTAAAAGGCGAGACTCAGATTCATATATTTTTTCACAAATTCATTATGTATGTAACTTGAATGTTTAAATTCTATAGAGGATTGCTTTTATTTTGGTTTTTCATAAGAGAAAAAATGGATCTCATGTAATATTTCTCAGAATTATATGTCTTCGTTTATATAATTGAAGAGGAGATGACACAAGTTACTAAAATGTACATGGTGATAAGTAGCTTATATAAGTTATCCTAATAGAAACAAGTAAACTAACCCTAGTAATGTTTACTAGTTACAAATTAACATTCAAGAATAGTCTCTAACATTGGTTTCCAGTTACCACTACCGCGATGCTTTTTTTCAATTTCATGGTGTCTGGCTTTCATTAACCGAAACAGAATTTGTTCTGCTGAAGCTAATTCCTTCTTCTTCTTCAGCGGTTGCGGCCGTTGATGATTTTTATTATTATTCTGTTGAATCGTTCCTAATAATTCAGCTAGCTCGCTCTTAGAAATCTTGAACGTGACTTTACCATTTGCATCACAAGAAGCTCTAAGCTTTCCTAACGCATCATTCTCCTTATTCTGATGATGATGATCTAGATAAACATCTTCGTCAAACACCTTGTTGCTTGACGATGATGAACATGGCTTTGGCTGCTTCATAGATTCCATTGACGATGCTGCCATGCAAGAGTTTCCCATTTTTTTCAAATATTATTATTACGAAAATTCAGTGACTGAATCTTTATATATATGTTTGTATATTTGATTAAGTTTTAAATTAATTAATGATGAAAGTTTGTAATGAGAGAAAGAGGTTTTGATAAATGTATTTATAGAGGTGTTATGATGTGAGAGAAATGGATTAGTATATTATTTGGTGTAACGACAAGTAGATTTGGTCTCATCTTATCTCATGGTCGTTCGTGTGCATGGCAGTCGTAAAGGGTGTGTGGGATTTGGAACGTGGGATTTTATTTGTTGACCAGAAATTTATATTTATATTTTTGACAAATCCATAAAATTATATCTTATATGTAAGATGAATCTTGGTTAGCCTAATGCTTCCAAATGCTATTTGCCATTGTATGTTTGAGTCAGGTGAATGTGAATGAGAAATAATTTATTTAAAATGGCACACTCACATATACTCTTTGTCGGATAGTTAAAAGTTTAGTTTATATGCATAGTTAATCAAAGACTATTTTACACATGTCTTAACAATAAAAAATTTAGTAGTTAAATTTTACGCATATATCACTAATTTTCTACATTTTATATGTTCTATGTTAGTTAATTAACCAATTAGTCGGAGTTTTTATCACAAGAATTGTTAGTTTTGTGAAGTTATTAGTTTTAACAAGTTTCATCAAGTTTTTGATGTTTTTTTTGAAGTAGATAATGTTCTAAAAAAAAGCGTAGGATTCTAAATGAAAAGGAGAGTTCAAGCATGACCAAAAAAGTTACTAAAATGAGTACAATACAACCCACACGCATATGACGGTTTGCCTAGGTTAAAAACACTTCTACCTATGCATATCCTAGAGTCGCATATTGCAAGGGACATACACATGTCATGACTGCCAGATGTGTGTGGTAGGTTTGAAGGCCCGAAAGTGCCTCTGGCCATACACATATCGTAGCATCCAGACGCATCCAATAAAAGGTCATATATGTATCCCCATAATCCGACATGTGTGGTAGGTTTCTAGGCCAAAAACGTCTTTGGCCATACACATATCGTAGCGTCCAAACGCATCAGAAAAAAAGGTCATACATGTATCCCCATAATTAGACGTGTATGGTATGTTTCTAGGCCAAAAACGCCTCTGGCTGTATGCATATCCTAAAACTTAACGCGTATGATTTGGCTCAAATGAGGCCTATAACTTGCAGGGAGTTATTTAAGGAAAATCACATTTGATTTAAGGGATATCTTGATCTTTTACGGCAAAAGAAAATTTGGAACATAAAGCTTATGTAGAAGGAACGACTTGAAGGCATATTCAACGAAATTATGTATTGAATTTCTCTTCTTGAATATCATTAAGTGATATCATTTATGTGGTTTGTGGATTGCTTTATGAGTATGTAAACCCTCCAATGTTAGGGATGGGTCATTGTTCTTGATTGAATTTGAATTTTTGAATTGACATTTGTAATTACTAAGGTTTTATTTTTACATGGTTTATTTCTTTTTGTGCTTAATGCTTTTCTCTTTCTAACAAATTGAGAATTGATTTACCGTTACTCGTTAGAAAAGTCTTTTAATAGTACACTTGATTGAAATATTCTACATTAGTTATCACCTAAGAGTAGGGATATTAATTAAATATTGTATTGTTTTTCATAATCAAATTTTTGGGTTCATTTATAATTTACCATGGTCATATAAATTGATTTTAATAGTCAAGGTTTCATTCACTAAGGACTTAGCAATAAATAAGCTTAAGAATCAGTAAAATGTAGGAATAAATAAATTGGTTACAAGGTCAGTTAAGGATATCAAATGAGTTCAAGTTCAAACTCTCATACCTAGCATGTGTGTCTCTTATTATTTTCTACTCTATTAAATTTTTCTTAGTTTTATCTTTTGCAAACAAACAAACTCAAAACCCTTGGATACCTTTTTTTCAACTAAATTTAAAATCGAACTCTAAAATATTATGCAGTTATCGAGATTGATATTCCAGGATTTTCCGATATTACTACTTGCATATTAGTACACTAGTTAATTTACCGGTCACATGGAAAATCGACCAGTTCTACGTGAGCATCCTCCACTCTAGTCGCACAACCATAGAAGGAAATCGTGCTCACTAGTTTCAGATCCACCTAGTGGTACAGAAAAACATCAGTCGACTCCACAAAATCATTATGTTCTCGTCGAACGATGTCCTCTTAAATATTTGGAAAAAGATAATGTCGATTAGAAATTGGCCATTAGCTCTGGAAATTAATGTGATCCCTAATTTCTATATTGTTAGGGTCCCGGTCATGCGTCGTGTAACACCCCACTTTTTGGTAAATTATTTTAGTTAAGTTATTTGTGAATTTTTTGTGATTTATATGTGTTTTATTTAATTATTGTGTGTGAATAAATAAATAAGTATGTGTGATGGGGTGTGTGACTGTGAGGGGAGAGTGTAGAGAGTAATTAAAAGTTGTTAGATATTATTTAGAATTATTTTACTAATTAAAATAATTCTCTAGCTTTATTATTTAAATAAAATAATAAGATAAAGGAAAATGGGAGTTAGTAGAGATATTGAGAACAAGGTGGGAATTAAGGGGAAAATGTGAGGGTAAGGTAGGAATATCCTAATGAGGGAATTAGGTTTTTATTTTTAAAAGAGATTTAAGAGGAAAGAGTTTAATCAATACGTACGAAAAGTGAAAAGAGGCAAAGAGGCTAGAAGAGAGAAAGAGCTAGGCAAAGAGAAGAACAAGAGGAGGGCTAGAGCTTGGGAGAGGAGACCATAGATATTGCTTGTTTTTGGTGGGATCACAAGGTAAGGGGCATTTTATGAGGTTAAAGAGTTATTACGAGCCCGAACATTGATTTCAATACTCTTCCCAGACTCAATTGATCGGGCTCTGAAGGAACACGTCAAGTCATAATCGTTATAACATTTCTTGAACAATCAAGGCTCGGAAACCATTACAAAATTATTAACAAATCGGTTACATATCACTAAGGGAGATAAACGATTACAAGTACTTATTAAGTATGTTACAAATACTTAAATAAATGGTTACGTTAATTATGGTCATAAATCCTATTTATTGTGACTATTCAGTAGGAGGGGGAGACTGACAATATATATAAGTCTTGAGACCAACAAAGAAGGAAGAGGGAGCACGATGAATAACATGAAAAAGAGAAAAATATAATAGAAACCTTGGACCATCAACAATAGTGGCTATGAACCCTATTCCAATCAAAAGCACTCCAACCAGACATTTACGATCTTCCCTGGCTGGCATCAGGGAGGCTAACCTTTTAATGTTTTAGAAAGAATATTTAGCGCCCACCGTGGGGTCTAGATAAAGCTTTCCTGGGACACACAATTATAATGGTCAATAGTATTTCTAGTCCTACTGCTACTTTCTGTAAAGCAGATCTCCACTGTCAGAATATAATTCTCAATTGTCTTTCAATTTACCGTGCCTCTGAAGGCAGACCGCGTATCCTGAAACTAGATGCGACTAATAACTTCCAAGGAGTTATTTAAGGAAAAACACATTTGATTTTAAGGATATCATGATTTTTTACGGCATAAGAAAATTTGGAGCATAGCGCTTATGTATAAGGAATAATTCTCAAATGCCTCTCGCCATACGCATATCCTGAAACCAGATGCGACCAATAACTCCCAAGGAGTTATTTAAGGAGAAACACATTTGATTTTAAGGATATCTTGATTTTTTTACGGCATAAGAAAATTTGGAGCATAGCGCTTATGTATAAGGAACAATTTGAAGACATATTCTACAAAATTCTATATTGAATCTCTCTTCTTGGTGATCATTATGTAATGTCATCTATGTGATTTATGGATTTTATTTACTGTATGAGTAGTTAAATCCTCAAATATTATGGATGAGTCAATGTTCTTGATTGAATTTGAATTTGAATTTTTTAATTAATATTTGTAATAACTAAGGTTTGTTTCTTTATGGTTTATTTCTTCCCGTGCTTAATGCTTTGCTCTTTCTAAAAAATTGAGAATTGATTTACGGTTACCTATTTGAAAAGATTTTCAATAATAACGCTTGATTGAAATATTCTACATAAGTTTTCACCTAAGACTAGGGATATCAATTAAAAATTGTGTTGTATTTTATAATCAAACGTTTGGATTTATTTATAGTTTACCATGGTCATATGAATTCATCTAAATGGTCAAATTTTTATTCACTAGGGATTTATGAATAAATAAACTTAAGACCAATAATTTGTAGGAATAAAGAAAATGGCTACAAGGTCAGTTAAGGATATCAAATGAGTTCAAGTTCAAACTTTCATACCTAACTTGCTTTTCTCTTATTATTTTCTACTATATTAAAGTTTTCTTATTTTTATCTTATGCAAAAAAAAACTCAAAACTCTTGTTTACCTTTTTTTTCAACTAAAGTTAAAAACAAACTCTAAAATATAATGTATTTTTCGAAATTGATATTCCGAAATTTCCCGATATTACTACATTAACAGATTAGTACACTAGTTAATTTATCAATCACATGAAAATTGACCAGTTATATGTAAGCTTCCTCTACTCTAGTCACGCAACAATAGAAGGAAATTGTTCTCACTAGTTTTGGATCCACCTAGCAGTACAGAAAAACGCCAGTCGGCTCCACAAAATCATTGCGATCCCGTCAAACAATGTCCTCTCGGCTATCTGAAAAAATATAACGTCGATTCGAAACTAGTGATTGGCACTGAAAATTAATGTGATCCCTAATTTCTATATTGTTAGAGTCCCGGCCATGCGTCGCCTTAAAAGTTTTAACAAAACAGTGAGTTCACCTCATATTCCAAGCCTCGATATACTACTACAAAACGTGTAAACAACAACGCCACAGTCCCCACGGTTCTTCCCTACACCGTGGTGACATCTCTAAACTAAGGCGCTATCATATTATTTTTGTTTTTTGATTAAAAACTATTTGTATATAACAACGGTTGAGGAGTCAAC